GTCACCATGTTTCACTAAATGTCACCATGTTTCACTAAATGTCACCATGTTTCACTAAATGTCACCATGTTTCACTAAATGTCACCAAACGTCCCAGCGTGTCACTGTAATCTGTCCCTGCCCACCACATGTCACGATATACCATTATGTTATACGTCAGTATCTGTCCAGACAAGTCAACATTATCACCATCTGTCACCAGTATACGTCACCAGACATAATTCTACATCACTGAACGTCACTATATGTCATGTGTCATTGAACGTCACCAAGCGTCATTTCCCTCCCAACCACAAGTCACTATATGTGCCACATTGCGTCACTACACGTCTGATGTCCCCACACGTCACTACACGTCTGATGTCCCCACGCGTCACTACACGTCTGATGTCCCCACGCGTCACTACACGTCTGATGTCCCCACGTGCCACTACACGTCTGATGTCCCAGCGCGTCACTACACGCGTCACTACACGTCTGATGTCCCCACACGTCACTACACGTCTGATGTCCCCACGCGTCACTAGTGTAGAGCGGAGCGACACGCCAGCGACACGCGTCGCTCACACCACCCTCTCCTCAGGGGCGGCCAGCTGTACAGACACAGAGGCAGGAGCTGCGGCCCCCGGCGTGGAGGGCTGAGGTTGGACCCCCGACTCACCGGCCTCCAGAACCACGTCCAGATCCTCCGTGGCTGTGGGGAGGCTGGCGGGTGGCTCTGGTGGGCTGGTGGGGGTGGGTGGCGGCTCTGCCTGCGCTGTTTGCTCGGACTCTCCCTGAATTCTCTCCCCTGTGTCGGCTAGTCAATTGACGGCCAGCTCCACGTTGATGAACTGCTTGAGTCGCTCGAGATACTGGCCGTAGAGCTCCACGTCGTTGTGGCCCGCGCCCTCCACCCACAGTGGCTCCACGGTCCGCGGGCACCGCTCGTAGATGGTCAGGCCGTGGGTGAAGTCGATCACCTCGTCCTCCGTGCCGTGAATCACCAGCACAGGGGAGGTTATCTTGGGCACTTTGTCGATGCTGAAACAGACACAACAGATATAGATAGATTGATATAATATATAGATATAGATAGATAGATATAATATAGATAGATAGATAGATATAATATATAGATAGATATAATATATAGATATATATATGACCTATCTGCAGGGATGCCAGATGATTTTTGAAAAAAATATCAGAAAATGAGCGGCGCACCACATGTCACCTAACACAAACCTTGTAACGTTCTTCAATGCCCACACAAAAACATCTCTCTTCCCTTCCCTTACAAGTGTATGGGGACTTTGTCTCACAAATTCCAGTAATATTATATCTGTGTTGAGAAGAAGGACCGTATGTCAGTGGCCTTCTTCTTCAGGGATGGGGGGGGGGGTAGAAATGCAAGGAAAATCTATTGAATCTGAAACAAAAGCCTTGTAGTTCCAAAACTCAAAACAAAAACAAACAAACAAATTGGATGGTGAAAAAGAATACAGATCAAAGGAATAATATACCCAGCATGTGCCTTGCTACAGAGAACGACAACAATGATGTGGTCACACCACACTTGTAAGTGGAAAGTTTCCTTTTGACCACACGGATTTCCTTCTCTTTGTTGCCTTGTCTGCTTCGAAAGTGAGTAATTGACAGTGTGGACAACTAGGAGGGGTCAATTCTCACAGGAGGAACCATGCTTCCCAAAAGTATGGACGTCACTCGCGACACTGTGTCGCCCTGCATGTCACTTGCTACAAGATTTTAGACACAAAATCAGTGTAACAACAAAATGTTACAACAAAAAGAGATCTTCCCTCATCTGAAATCAGCTATCTCAAACAGAAGGAATTCTCTTGGCAGGAAGTTAGCTTTACATCGGGTTTAATAAAATACCGGATTGGATTCCAATGAATCAGTAGTTGATAAATAAAAAACTACCATGCCACTTGCTACAGTGTTACAAAAAAAAAGGGGAAATGGTATAGGTTTTAACTCCCCTATCAACACTATTAGGTTATTTAAGAGGCGGGGCCTCCCAGTTTAACGTCCGTCTCCGATAGGACAGAGCCAAGTAAGAAGTTCATGTAAAGTGTCTTTCCCATGGACACAACATCTGACCGAGCTGAGGCTCGAACCCCTGAACCCGCAATCTCACAATTACGAGTCCGGTAACCTAACCACTAGACCACTGACAACCTCACGATTATGAGTCCGGAACCTAACCACTAGACCACTGACAACTTCACGATTACGAGTCCAGTAACCTAACCACTAGACCACTGACAACCTCACGATTACGAGTCCGGTAGCCTAACCACTCGGCTACCGACGCCACAGTGTTAAAACAAATATTTAAAATTTATTTACTGAAGAGATAGGGGATATAAAAAGCATAGCACTTTCATATCCCCCTTCATCATTTAAATATTATAATGAAATAACACTGGTTTTCTGCATGTTTTTGTGGTTCTTAACTTTCTAATGGTGGTTCGAAATATCCTCTGACAACACATGTAGCAAGTGACAAGCAGATTTATTTATTAAAAACAAAAACAAGCCACTGGAATGGGAATTTTTTTTAGATAGAACCATTCATATTTGTTTACTCTTCCATCAAAAGCAATATTTTCATGTAAATTTGCAAAAACTTCCATGTAATCAGGATTTCCAAAGTGCCCCTACAGTAGCCTGAGTCAGAGACTGGTTAGATCTAGGCATACACACTTGTATTGTCAACTTCAACACAGTAGCCTGTGTCAGAGACTGTTTAGATCTAGGCATACATACTTGTATTGTCAACTTCAACACAGTAGCCTGTGTCAGAGACTGGTTACATCTAGCCATACATACTTGTACTGACAACTTCAACACAGTAGCCTGTGTCAGAGACTGGTTACATCTAGCCATACATACTTGTATTGTCAACTTCAACACGCTAAAACCTCGGGGAAAACACCAACTAGACAGACACCCTATTGTTGTACAAGATCTCTTTGCCTATTTTTCTTTTCCCTACAGAACAATCAGCTCTAAAAGGAATCTTTTCTGGTTTTGTTACGTCTTTATTTCTACCACCAGACCTTTGCTCACATATGCACGGGAGGGTGGCATTGGTTGACTGTGTTTATTACACCGATGGGTGGGGCTAAGGGTGGAAGTGGAAGCAAAGGAGATGATCAAACATTTCTGTTTTTAAATGGGTCAAACAGTGGTCCTTTGTATTGCAAGAACTGGAGGCACCAAAGTAAGGTCATTGACGCATGTCACTGTCAGACAGGACAGCAGTCGAGAGCTGTGAAGTTCTGACCACGGCCTACCGACCGCACCAAAATTGAAAGTTGGGCAGGACACTTCCGTGCTTTTATTGCAATAAATTCCCACGGACATCAAGTTTTCCGATTCTCAAGAGAGGGAAAGAAAACATGTGAAAATGTGTAAGAACACTGAGCGCAGTTGTGGCACAAGTGGTCTTAGCGGAACAACGCTGACTGCCTTCTTTTGGCCGCCAACAGTTCAATGATATGTATGTATGTATGTAGTATAGGGTTTTACGGCGCTCGCAACTGCTAACAGTTCAATGACAGCAGCCCACGTCTTCCCCAAAATCAGACACTAGACAGACACACATGACAGATTCACTCAAGGGCCCAACCATCCCCATCAGTCCAGGGTTACTCGACAATACAGTCTTTTAACTAATGCAGCACACACGGCCATATTTTAAATATTTTAAAAGTGTTTTACGGCGCTCGCAACTGCATTAGGTCATACGAGCGCGTGGGACACACTAAACATAGTTTTCAGTTGGTAGGAAAATTTTAATTTTGCCCGGGTGGTGGTCGAAGCCTACTCATATAAATAGATTTTAGATCACCAAGGGATCTTTAACATGCGCAACTTGCACACTGGACCTCCCAAGATTTTCCGTCCTTGTCCGAGAAGGCTAGGTGTAGATCTTTCCTAGGGCCACATTGAAGGGAGGAAGAAATCTGATCCGTATGTACCGGGGTATAACCATATATATATATATATATATATAATACAGGAATCACGGAGAGTTCCAACTCGTCGGGACTGGCCTCGGTAGTGTGTGGGATCTGTGGCTCGAGACATATCTTACAAAGATAATGACGGAAAAAAAAACGGTAGAGCAGGCACAGTTTGACAGGGATGCCAGATTTCGAGTCTTGTGTGTTCGACCAATCCATGGTATAATACTGTAGAAAATATATTTCAGGACCTGATAATCTATATATATATTGATTCACTGCAGGCTAGACTATTACTTACACCAACACAAAATTTTCAGTCTAGGACTAAGACTAAGACTAAGACCACCTTCCATCTTTTGTCACCAAATTCAACTTCAGGTACCACTGTTTCCCATGTTTTTAGTACTATAGGCCTACGCTCTCAGGTACCACTGTTTCCCATGTTTTTAGTACTATAGGCCTACACTCTCAGGTACCACTGTTTCCCATGTTTTTACTATAGGCCTACGCTCTCAGGTACCACTGTTTCCCATGTTTTTACTATAGGCCTACGCACTCAGGTACCACTGTTTCCCATGTTTTTACTATAGGCCTACGCACTCAGGTACCACTGTTTCCCATGTTATTTTACTATAGGCCTACACACTCAGGTACCACTGTTTCCCATGTTATTTTACTATAGGCCTACACATCTTACCCCGGTCACTTTTCTTTAACCCTATCCGTACGTCCTGGGGTCATTTTGTACCCCAGGGGTTGTATTCTTCACGAACATTTTTAGAATACTTCTAGCGCAAAGATCTTTTTGAAACTTTCAGTATTTCTCAAAAAATCATTTTGACAGACAGCAATGCAAAGCGTACGGATCAGATTTAAAAAGAGCATTTCCTCTTTGGAAAGTGGTGGCACAGAGTTCCCCACGTCGTATGGATACGGTAGTAAAACACGACGTACGGATAGGGTTAAGTGGTGGCACAGAGTTCCCCACGTCGTATGGATACAGTAGTAAAACACGACGTACGGATAGGGTTAAGTGGTGGCACAGAGTTCCCCACGTCGTATGGATACGGTAGTAAAACACGACGTACGGATAGGGTTAAGTGGTGGCACAGAGTTCCCCACGTCGTATGGATATGATAGTAAAACACGACGTACGGATAGGGTTAAGTGGTGGCACAGAGTTCCCCACGTCGTATGGATATGATAGTAAAACACGACGTACGGATAGGGTTAAGTGGTGGCACAGAGTTCCCCACGTCGTATGGATACGATAGTAAAACACGACGTACGGATAGGGTTAAGTGGTGGCACAGAGTTCCCCACGTCGTATGGATATGATAGTAAAACACGACGTACGGATAGGGTTAAGTGGTGGCACAGAGTTCCCCACGTCGTATGGATATGATAGTAAAACACGACGTACGGGTAGGGTTAAGTGGTGGCACAGAGTTCCCCACGTCGTATGGATATGATAGTAAAACACGACGTACGGATAGGGTTAAGTGGTGGCACAGAGTTCCCCACGTCGTATGGATATGATAGTAAAACACGACGTACGGGTAGGGTTAAGTGGTGGCACAGAGTTCCCCACGTCGTATGGATATGATAGTAAAACACGACGTACGGATAGGGTTAAACTGTAAAGCCCCAAACCTCTACTTTTCCCTTCAAAACCTCCAAACACCCACAAAAACAACATTAAATGAGTGTCGAAAATCTGCTCGCAGCCCTATTTAAAATTCTGTAAAAAATACACTTCTTTCGAATCCCAAATCCCCTCTGAGTAGATCTACAACAGAACAGAAATCCTGACATCCTCATCAGATCAACAAAAGGGAGTCTCACTCAGCGACAACATGCGGCAACTGTAGCTGGCCGCCTACAGCTCAGGGAAACGGTTATTCCGACTCGAGTCCAATAACAAAAAATTATAAATATTCGGACTTGGACCCAAGTCCAGCATGACGTCACTTCCAACTTCCTGTTATGTAAAGTCCCCCGACGACAGTTATTACATGTAACCTCCTTACACTCAGTTACTAG